ACTATCAAAGCACTAACAAAAATGACGATCGATAGCGCATTTAAAAGCAGCCTAAGTTTGAACTTGTATTTCGTAAGCACACCGACAGGTAGGTGAAGATTGGGAATTTTTTAGAAGGTCAGAGAAGCCTGCCAACTCAACCTCTCCCTCAGCGACCGATTTGCCTACTTTCCCCGAATTCCCTAAGGATAAGAGCGTCGTCGCTGCGTTGTGAAGTGGTGGAACAACCTAACATCCTCTCTTTACTATCCTGAATAAATACATCCTTGAAAAGCCTTATTGTATCAAAGGCTCACTAATTGGGATGATATAAATAGCTGTCTGACTACCAGGTTAGGCAAGCCAGGCTAGATAGTCAGAAGTTTTTGTGGTTAAATCGTAGGTCACACAAAAATCTTCCTAGTCTAAGCAAGCTGGGAACGAGACCGAAGTCGTCCAGGCAGTTTAACTACCTGGCTTCCTAGACATTCACCATTCAGTATGGTTCAGCAAGTGAGAACTATACAAATAATAAAGTATAGTTTCTGCTTTGTTAATTGGCTCATCCTTCTGTATCCCTCTAGTGGTTGTCAAGGCGTTCATCTCATGTTTTGTGTCGCAGAGATCCTACGAACCAAGCCTCTCCTACCAACATATTCTGAAGATCTTTTAGTGAATGAGGGAGTTTATGCTCACGCTTTGTAACGCAAGATCTGATACACAAAACTTCCGGAGTATTAGTACCGCGTAGATCGAGGACAAGCCAAAAAACCAAATCGATCATCTGAAAGACAAAGAATATTTCGGGACAGAATCGTAGTGCAAGGACGATAGCTTAACTAGCTAGGGATCGCGCACGAACGACTAGATACGAGGGAAGGTTTGGCATGGGGTTATCAACCCCAAACCGTAAAAAACCCACTGCTACCGAAACCTCAAACCTTTGCCTTGAGGCCCTATGTTCCACTAGGATCGTGGAGGAATAAAATTACCTATCGCTGCATTGGTAAAAATTTAATTTCTTTATATGGCTGATAACGACTGAGCTGGAGAGTTTGTGGTTGATTATGAACGCCCTAAATTACTCTGCTTTCGTTTGAGATGAAACTTAAAACATTTCAGTTGTCCGAAAGCATATCAGGAGGTTATTTAGTTCATGTGCAGTCATTTGAATTCAGCCCGTTTATTATAGCCCTATTTGTGTTTGAATAATTATTCCAATGAAAATGATCTGAAAGAGCTGAAATTAAGCTGAAAGAATTGCCAGTATGTGCTGAATTAAGTCTTTTCATTCTGAAGTAACGCTAGCGCGTGCTGAAAATGATCTGAAAGGGGTGAAATTAAGCTGATAAGCTAACCCAGCAGCTTCTGATCTACTCCTGAAAATGCCCCAAAAAGAAAACGGTGCTGAATTAGCGCTAGTCATGCCGAAAACCAGCACTGAGTTCTAGTCTGTGCCATTAAACAATCCATTTCAGAACAGATTCAGAATTTTCTCACTATAGGATGCTAGAATTCTTTCAGAATTACTGAGATTTAATCCAGAATTATAGTAAGCATTATAATAAGTATTTTCACGTTAACATGAAAATTCATTAGTAGGGCTTGGATAAGACCCATACAATTAGTTCGTTTTTCCTCAGCCAAGGAAAAATAGTTAAACACAGGTCACCGACACAAAATAAACCAATACTGGCATGAATTTATCTGTTTTTATCTTAAAATAAGAAAATAAGAATTTGAATCTTAATCTTAAGATTTTGTTGGTCATCTCAAGCAGAAAGGTTTAACAGCCATCAAGACCTTCTTAAATTATGATTGGCGAAATATCGCTATAGTTACTTTCTCTACTTAGCTTCTAATAATTGACGTATACTTCAAAAGATTCGGTTACTATTGAAACGTTGAATTGAAATACTGAGCGTTGTTACAAGACTTGCGTTAAGACATGCGCCACTTCAACGTTGTATAGGCTTGTGTTGTGTGGTCGTATCCCCTGGAGTTAAGGTTAGTTATTTGTTTGCCTTCATAGCTGCCATGATATTCCAATGCATTCTGTTGGACGTGTTTTTCGATTGATTAAGTGTTCATCATGACCAGTTAGACTTTAGAGAGGTATTTGCTACCATTCCGTTGTCCTGGTGATCATAAGTCTTTCGTTAAAGCCATTCAGATCGTCCTAATGTTTCATTGAATGGTTGTGTCTGGAAAGCCGACGTATTGCAATGGAAATTTACGCCCAGCTAAACCATGTATTATAAATTATTTAAATTAATCCCAGCGTGTTAAGCAAAATCAAAGCAAGATTTTTCTGAACGTTTCGCCGTGTAAGCCACAGCTTCTTCAGCAGATTTATTCGGATTATCAATCTGCTGAATCAACCTGACTCGGCGCTTAAATTATTCCAGGAAATTCGTAACACCTACGGTCTGGAAACCTATAATCTAAACTATGTATGTTCCGAATTTATAAGGTGCAAAAATATACACATTATTCTTAACGTGCTATATCGTATCACCAGCTGGAAGTTAATCAGTTAACTCAGTACACAAATGGAGCTGTATAGATACAGTCAGTGACGCTTCAGCAGTTGTATTACTGGCGTGTAAGCTCTGTCAGTCAGATCACCGCCCTTTAGGGTTTACTTACGGATCGTAGAGGGTTAGTCCTTTGGGTAGGTGGCAACTTGTCTGCCGCTTTATGCCGGTGTTTAAGCATCATAGCATCAAATCCAATGCTTTGTTCATACGTTAAATCCTACAACAGCTTGTCTGTCTGTCTGTTTTCGACATAGAACTTTGCACAAATGTGCGGAAGTTCAAGTCGCCACATTCCGTGTAGCACGCGAAGCAAGAGAAGAAAGTACAAGAAAAGCATAATAGAAACAGTGAGCAGAGGTGTGAGACAAAGGAGTAATAAATAAATACAAAACAGTTTCATTGAAGATCATAAGCCTCCAAAGCCTCAGGATGGTCGGGGGTGGGTGTCTTGCGCTGCGGGTTGGCCACCCCTCCGTACACCTCTTGAAATGCTCCCATATGACCGGGCGTCTTACATAGCCTCTCCTGAGGAAGTCCTACTCACTGCCTTCACGTGGCGGAGGTGTTTTTCACCAAAGTGAGAGGGCAAAAGCGGATGCCCGGCGCTCTTCACCGGGTTGACTGTCCATTGGATGACAGTCTAGGGGAGATGGCTAAATCCTGATTCCAAACCTCCAACGACTGGCGTATGAAGCTTACTGGAGCTCACCGGCAGACGTATGGACAAAGGGCTTATTGGATGCCCTGGATGACTGGCCCCATTCAAAAAGGCGAATGAACCGGACTCCGGTCACCGGCTGCCAATGGATAGTGGACTCCTTACTCCACTCCTACTGCCTTGTAGGTCACACTTGGCTGTGTAAAGGCTAGAGCTGCACTCTCAAACAAAAGGCCGAGCGATGCTGGGGACATCACTCGTACCAAATTCCCATGAAACTTCATGGTTCATGAAGCCGGCTCATCCTCCCGTAGGAGATAGCCGAAGTAAAGTAAAGTAAAAAGTAAGTATAAGTCACAGGGAGTGGATGCATCTGCGCCACTGAGAACGATTTTGAGCCATGTCACCAATTGTTTCCAACCATAGATTTTTGCCGTCCCGAGGACCCCAGCCTGGAAGTCTACACCTTCCTACGTGGCTTAGACCAACTGTTGTGGATTTCATTGACTGGTGCCAAGTTTTTGTTTGACCGCCGCTAGCTTTTTTCCAGCCTGACCCTATATCGCTTGGGATTTTATTGCGGTATGGTTACTGGTGCTCTACCTATGGGAGGAAGGGCAGTAACATCTGCGTCAACCTAATGGTCTATGATGTGATCCCCTTAGTTGTTGTTACTGCCAGTTGTATAACCAGTGTACTTTTACCCTAGTTTGGTTTCGTCAAACGTCATGGAATCAGTATGCCTATATTTCTTAAATGCCCATGACTTCACATTATTTTGTTCTGATGCGCAGGTAGTGTTTTCGTAGTCCTGTTTAGAACCACCTTCCGAAATATTGAGGACTAACGTGTTTCATGGTGGCTTCCTGGTTGTCAACATTTCGTTTGTCATCTTTATCGATGGGTGGGAACAATGGCATTATGAGGGTTGTCGAAAAGAGAAGAATTCAGACCCTAAAGGCCACCGATGATACTTATTGTTCACTCGTAACATCTTTTATTTTGGTGTTGGTTATTAATTTTAAGTGGTTGTCTAAGCAACCTGGCGAAAAAAGCGTGTTTTGCCGTTTAGTCTTAGAAGGAACTAAATGTGGACTCATTACCCTCGCTTTACATATAACTATCTGATATCAAAAAGTAACCAAAGTATCAATTCATTCATCGTACTTGTCATATTTCATGCATAGATTTTTTACCTCTAGTGATGCTAAATAAGTACCCTAGTCCAAGATTTTTAAACCAAGTATCTAGACCGAAACTGTTTCTCAGAACCTGCAAGATGACAACAAAATAAAGTAGGTTATTTCTCTGTCCCATCCGGTTTCATAAAGAGGGCGAAGTATCTGGCGAATAATTTGCCAGGCCTGTTAGCGAGCGGATTCTATGGTTAGCGAAATTTGTAACCTAAGTTGGATTACTTCAAAGACCCAAGATATTCAGGCAACCGACTAACAAGTTGGTTGCTCAAAATTTGGAAGGTAGTTAAATAACAATAGTTCACTCGTCATATAATCTCTGGCAACTAACTTTGTTGGAAAGTGTTAACTTGAGACTGTTTAAGACAGTAATGTAAGGTGTAATATCCGAGCAATTGTATTTTGTTGGTTATTCGTAGCTCATTGTACTCCCCACCGGTTGAAATTGTGAAACTGCATGTCTTTCAGTTTACTCACTGTATATTTCCTTAAGATAAGAATATGTTGTACACTTGGTGAATTTGGTCCTCCAGCTGAATTGATGTAGTATTCTTCTTTTGCTTTTCCTAACTGATTCTGATGTCAGTGTTTTGCTATAGCCCATATCGTTATTGCTAGTCAACAAAAATGCCATCAGAAGATAAAAAGAAGAAAGCTCAAGCGAAGAAGGATGCAGCGAAGAAACGAAACCAGAAGCCAGCCAAAACTGTACTGTCACAGCCAGATGGTGAAGGTGATGAAAAGATAGCTGATAATGGAAGTGTTGATGTTCCCGATGATTTGCCGTCTGGATCATCAGACTCCACTCATCACGCACGTGATGAAGACTTTATGGGCAAGTGCACTCTTATGCTATTATTTTATCTATAGTTTCTAAACACACAAGCAGTGTCGCAGCCATGTGACATAGGAGGCGTTACTGTTAATTTGGCACTGTTTATTATATGCTCTTGCATGAAATGAAGAATAAAACAAATGGAATGTCAATTGACCAGAATCCTTAGTTATCACTTAAAATCAAAGATGTCAGGCTTTAATTAATATTTGACATCGACTATCAAAAGTCTTATTAAAAGTGATGAACCAAAAATATCAGTGTGTCGTTAACGCGATTACTCCTCTGCTACATGTTACTCATGTACGGATATTCTTGTCAGTACGTATTATCCGTTAGTGAAGTCATATCACTTCATTGGAAACTTTACTTTAGGACCTGTGAATAAAACGAAGCCTGCAGTAGTGTCTTGTTATAATTAATTAGATTGCTAAATATTCTTCGCTGATGTGAACAGTCTCAGATTAATCCATAGTGAGTACTTAATAATTGTCATGTAGAAGTCAGCTGTTAAGCTATTTTGTGTATAACTCCATTATGGATAAGATCTTTATTTTTTAAATCACACAGTTTTGTACAACAATATTAACTGATGACGTTTCGAGTACAAATTATTGCCCATAATCATATGATATGATACTCTACCACATTACTCAAGTTTTATACTTATATCAATAATTGTTTTGTGTGTATTTTAACGGATTTAAAACTTATCCTCAAGGCACAAGGTGGAGGTATAATTGAGGTACAGGTCATTGGAATCTGTATCGTACCTGTACACTATTTTGACTACTGAAAGCTGGGCAAGTGAAGCAGAGTTCGAGCACATGAACCACTGTTTAAAAATCATGTTTCTGGGTGAATAAGCCGCCACCTCACCACAACCTTTTTACCAGCTCACTATTTATGCCATTAATGTACAGACCTAACCAGTGTTTTGGTTAAAATCTAAGCAACTTCAACTGTTCTAGACGTGCAACTTCAAAATTACTTAAAAGCCTAAGTTGTCTCAAAATTTTGTGCACTGTAACCATACAGTTGTTTAGATGTATGGCCTGAAATTTCCGCAATGGTTAGCGGTGTACAAAATATGTTATCTTACTAATCGAAGTTGTTGAGGTTCATCCTAACAAACACCGAGTGTTTTCCACCTTATATCTGAAAGGTGTTGCATTGGGTGCGTTTCATATTGGTACTTTGTTTACAAGTATAGAGTTGTGGAAACCTTTTCACTTGTTTCGGAGGCTGCACCACTGCTATGAAGGTTGCTATAAATAATAGGGAAAGGTGATTAGATGTTTTACGACTGCAGTAATTTCACAGTCGCATGTAGTGTGCGACTTTTTGCAACCACGATACTGCCGTAGAAGTAAGTTATATTTTTATTTCTATTGAACTAGTCACTATTCAATTATGAAACAGCGTGGAATTTTAACCTAGAGAGGCAGAAGTCTTGTATGACTTAAAATAACTAGGTTTGTTGTGCTCTTAAATCATTATCCACTTGAATACTTCATTTTTAGAGAAGTGTGTATAAGGTGAACAAAAGTTGAAAGTAATAATGGATTGGGAGATTTACCGAAAAAGTTTCCCGCCGATTGACCTGACTAAGAGTTAGATATACCTGGTGTAATTTCACTTTTTTCTAAAATTAAAACTGCAGTTGCGTTAAGAAATTGTTAGAGGCTATTCTCACTCACTTAAATCAACAGCACCTAATAGATTGTGTTGAACGTAAGTTATGGGAATAAGGTGATACTACAATAAATGGGAGGGAAATAATAAAATGAAAACTAATAAGAGTCTTCAGAGTTTAGGGTACATTTGAGCTGTGTTTCCAACATTCTTTGTAACCCTTGATTCTTATCGTTGCAAGAACAGCTGAACAGTCTTTTATAAACAGCATACTGTTCTCCGTAGTTTGTTAAATAAAGTGGTTTCTGAGTTTACTGTACTAATTAAAGATACATTGTGGAGTATTATGCTTGCAATACTTTGACAGGATCCGTTCATTATTACCCAACCGTTAAACAGTTGTAAAACCAATTTACAACTAAAATATTCAAAGCAGGAAGTGTAGAGTGTTTTATCTTTTTATTATTCCTGCCCATACTTTTATAATTCAGTAGGTTTTGAAAATCCTTTTAGGTAGTGACGACGAAAATGAAAAAGTTCACCAGTCTTTGGTTGAGACTTTAGAGTGCTTAGATCTTCTTAGTGAACGTGTTGCTGCACATCGGTCTGTCACTGGCGTTCTGGCATCCCATCCCGAAGCTAGAGATGTACAATTTTCAAATTTGAGTGTATCTTTTCATGGAAAAGTTCTGTTGGCAGACACTCGTCTGGAACTAAACAATGGTCGAAGGTATGTCACGTTTCCTTCTGCTTTCCTGCGTTTGAGCTCTTTCAGTGTTTATGCATATTCGTCTAGTACTTGGATAATTCCATTTGTTTTAAAAAATAATGAGATAAGAAAAGAGAAAGCCTAACTCCAAGAGCACCTCAAACAAACTACATACCTTCATTAACAGCTGTCTTCTCTCAGATGGCCAGGAAAGATCAGCAACAGGGATCTCTGGGAGCGAACCAACCAGGAACCGATTGTGAAACAAATAGGCAGGAAGAAATGGAGATGGATTGGTCGCACCCTGAGGAAATCATCAAGCGACATCACTAGACAAGCCCTCGAGTGGAACCCGAAAGGGAAGCGGCGGGTTGGTTGTTAGTGCAAGGGTGACTTGGGAGAGGTCATGCGAGGAGGAGATGAAAGCATGTGGGCAGACATGGAGCGGAGTGAAAAAGTTAGCAGAGGACTGAACGGAATGGAGACGCGTGGCTTAAGCCGTATGTTCCTCTAGGAATTAAAGGAAATAATAATAACTCCAAGACGTCATAGTATTATTTGATGTTTAGCATTATATTATATTAAAACGCAAACCAGGATACATTATAGGCATCAAGAGATGCGCCACACAAATCTCGTAATTTGTGATAGGGCTGAGATACCTCTCGGATGCCAAAACCGAAGTAGGTGGAAATCTTAAAAAGTCAATTCCCGGGCCTTTAACTGGGAGTCTGACTCACAAGACAGCGGAGCAGCTCTGTGACCAAAACAGGTTCACACACCATTCGATCCTTCCAGATTCTAAAGCCTTTGTGCATCATAGGTGTGAAGTCAGGGTTCTCCAGTTCCCCTTGGTAGACCTACATGTCCATCAGTTCGTTTGTAAGCTCCAGAGGGTAGCATTTGCCCTTCCACTTTTGTGAGAATCACCTCCCTCCTGGGAAGGTAGTGAATATTGCTTACTAGGCAGAGGCTATGACCGCGTGGTCACATAAAATCTTAAGAAGAAGACGGGAGTCTGCCCACCCTCGGCTGTACCAGGTCATTTGTGGCAGCAATAGCTGAGAGAATAAATGTTTAAGATTCCGAAGAAGTAGAACAGTTAGTATATTGTCTACCTTTGTTTTGGCTTCTAGTCATATTATACGAAGTTCTGTTTTGCTGATGTTTGTCATGTTATCTTAACAAAGGCTAAACTTGTCAAACAATTATTATTATGTTGACTTCTAAAGTAATAGCATATATCATTACCTTAAACTAGCAGCCACTTTCTCAGACGTAATTTTGAGATTTGTTTTCGGTTGTCTAGAGACTTCGCAACATCTTCCTCCTTTGAATCTAAGATCAAGAAAGTATATCACACCGGGAAGTACATATTCAACTTTGTACAGGTGTAATAAGATAAGCTATTTACTGTCTCCCGTTCATCTACTCTATTTGTGAAACGTAGCTGAAACCTCTTTTTCCTGTTTACCGAAAGACAAGTATCTTCTGGCAGGTAAAGATTTTCGCTGAAACCAGACATAAGTGAAATGTTTTCTGAACACAAATCATCCAAAACCAAACAGTACATTCTTTACTTTTAATTGTGTACCAGTGAGTGACAGCGTTTAACAAATATAAACGATTGTAACTCGTGCTGACGAAATCCGAACTTGTCATTTGCCCATCTGTTTATTCGATCGAAATAGTTGAGTAGTTTAAATTTTTGTAAATTAAACAATGATACTTTCAAGCTTACAAAAAAGAAATACAACTTGTTATTACATTTTAGGTATGGATTAATTGGTCCAAACGGTTGTGGAAAATCTACTCTGCTTGCTGTGATAGCCAATGGAGAATTGGCTATCCCACCACATATTGATATCTTTCTGTTGCAACGCGAAATGGCACCTTCAAATAAAACTGCACTACAGTGTGTAATGGAAGTTGATAAAGAGCGTGTCCGATTGGAGGAGGAAGCTGCTCTGCTTTCAACGAGTGATGAGCCTGGTAAGAACTAATGTATATATTTCTAGCACTAACTTCTCGCTGATGACCTATTTATATTTCCTCTCACTTATGGTTGTTTTGACTCTCCTCGTACGCCTTGATACTACAGAAGGATACAATTATAACAGGAGGTTGCAGAACAACTTCCATCTGGCTTTATATGTGACTACTAATCTCGCATTCAGCTTTATCATAAAGTGGGTTCCTAAAAACTGCTTCATACACCTTAGGTTTTTTGAAATAAATGTCCCCAGTTTTGTCCCAACTTGATATTGCAACTTTTTCGTAAAGAAAGAAGCTATCTCAATTATTTCTGGCTTCAGGTCATTATAGGTCTCATCACTCTTCGATGAATTGAAATAGTCAGACTCATGTAATTGTATCTGTTTTTCTAAATGCTATGTATGACCGAAGTGGTGCTTGTAGTCCATATGTCATAATTTTTGAGATGTAATTTTGGTTAGAAGTCAATACTTTTACTACTCTAGTTATACTTGTATGATAGGGATGCGTTCCATTGAATTTTAGCGTCCGACTTCGGTTCGAATCTCATTCTACATATTTCTGTCTGGATTGTCGAGTGGTATGGTATGGTGGTCAGTCCTGATGCACTGACTGGGAACTCTATTCTGGGTAACTGAGCTTTAAGCAACTAAGCTGTCTGAGTGTATGATATGCATTGTTCAGCAGGCGGCAAGACTATATGCCTCGTGTTTTCAGCGTTAAGCGTGGTTATTTTGTTTGAGAAGAAATCTCCGTTAATTTATTTGTGACTGCCTTTAGGAGAGTACTTCTCTTGTTGCACTTATTTTACTGAATCTGTCTTGTTATTATTTTGCATACTTTTTCAGAGGCGAGTGAACGTCTGTTAGAAGTGTATGATCGCCTGGAACATTTGGATGCTGATAAAGCTGAACCTAAGGCTGCTGAACTTCTGCATGGTTTAGGATTTACTGCTGAAATGCAAAAGAAAGAGGTAATCGCTGAAAAATAGTCTTTTACTCTTCATCTTGTTCAATACTCCTGACTTTGTTCATCTACTAAAACTCAAATCGATAATGTGTTTTTTCCCCCTCTAGGTTCGTCATTTCAGTGGTGGTTGGCGAATGAGAATTGCTTTAGCCCGTGCTCTATTTGTTCGACCTGCTCTTCTACTTCTTGATGAACCAACTAATCACTTGGATTTGAATGCCTGCGTTTGGTTAGAGCGTCAGTTAGTCAATTATCCACGATGCCTGGTCGTTATATCTCATTCACAAGATTTTCTAAACGGTGTTTGTAATCATATTGTCTTGATGAATAAACAAAAACTGAGCTATTTTGGTGTAAGTCGCACATATTGTCTTTCGTGTAACATATCTGTTTTACTAATTTAACATGTCAAGTGATTCACAACGGAAAACTCAGCGAGGCGTTTGGAGTAAAGACAGGAGTCAGACAAGGGTGCTGGCTTATTATCACCAATGATATTCCTAATTGTGGTGGACTGACTGGATTATGCGTCAGACAGTGAGTGGGAAACGAGAAGACAGGAATGTCCTGAAAGGACGCGAAGAACCTAAAAGACCTGGATTTCGCGTGTGGATGATTTATGTTTGATGTCACACAAAATCGAAGACTTACAAGCGAAAACCGACCGACCAACTGGTCGAAGAATCAGGTGGTAGAGACAGGACTCCAAGTGAACATAGACAAGACGGAGGTTATTAAAATATCTAACCAACAGCAGCAACATCCAGCGTCAATCACCATCAACAGCAGGGATTTGAAAGAGGTTACTTCATTCACTTAGCTAGGGAGCGTTGTCTCGACTACAGGAGGAACGGACGAGGATGTTAAATCGGGCGAGAATCGGGAAGGCAGGCGAGAAACACATTCATCAACCAACTGAAACCAATCTGGAAATCTTCGTCACTCAGCCAGAATCAACAGCAAAATTCCGTCGGATTTTCAATACAAACGACGTCAAGTCAGTTAGTTCTTCTATACGGATCGATCAGAAACTTGGCGGGTGAGTCACAAAGAATATTTCCAATAGCCTGTTGCAGACCAGACCTTTATCAACCAACAACTGTCTCCGATGGATCTATACTGAAGATCAGATGGCCGGCCGGGCCGGAAAGAATCACCAATAAGAAGAAACTATGGCTGGGATTAAACAAAACAAGAAGCGATTGCCAACCAACAAATATGCAGGAGAAAGTGGAGATGGATCGGACAATCGTTGAGGAGGCCGCTGGGTGACATCATTCGCGCGTCAGGCCATCGCTCGAGTGGAACCCGAAAGGGAGGCGGCGAGTGGGGCGTCAGTGCAAGGGTGACATGTGAAGGAGATCGGTTGAAGAAGAGTTGAAACAGTATGGATTAACATGGATGCAGGTGAAAAGTACTGGGAAAGACAGAAGCAAGTGGAGACGTGCAGTTGAAGCCCTATGTTCCACTAGGAAATCAAGGGAATTATGATAATAATTATTTAACGGAATTTTGCGGGAATGAGTTAAAGCACCGTTTCATAAAGAGAAATTTCAGCCAAGTTCAAATGTGAACAAGTTGTATATCTAAGCTGACAGTTATGGAAATGAATTTGGTAAAATCTCTACGTCAATCAAAGTATCGGAGGCGATTAGCTAACCCCACGGTTCACTGTGATCTTATTTTAACGAAAATGGGTATCAAAATTATTTAGTAAGTGTTGTTTACGCCAGCAATATAAACCTAGTTTTGTACCTATGTTTTTCTCACGTTCATATGCTCTCCTCACTATCTCTGTTGTGCTGATGGTGTAAGACTTGGTCATTGCAATGCACAACAATAAATGCGTTCAAATTCTGTTTCACTATTTGTCGTGTTTATGTGAACGGCCTAACTAACAGTTAGTCTTATCCTGTGAGAAATTCAAAATTTTTAGATAAGATCTCATACAAATATGGTATTGTCACATGATATTATAAAGTTAGGACATATTTCAGATGAATGAACAATGAGTCATCAATTAAACTGTTAATAATTTGAATTTTTTATGTCGTGATGATTGTATGTTTGTATGTATGTAAAGGTGTATAGGTGAAAAGCATTTTGTGAAGACACTCGGGCAAGATATAGGGTTGTGAACTAGAATTTGGAGACATTTTATTGTATGTATTTGGGTCGATCGTGAATATATATTGGCTTATACTGTTAACCCAACTGTAGGGATTACTTATTTATGACGGATTCAGTTAAGCCCTTCAGACGGAATTATTATTATTATTGAACTAGAATTCGTACAGATTTATGCTAGTGTTTTCGAATTGCCTACTTACATGTCTCGTACCGTGAGAAATTAATATGATTGTTATGGTTTGTAGTAACCACCGTCTGATTGTAGATAGTATTACGAGACTTATCATCAAATAGATTAGAACATCTGTGTCTAAATACTAGTTCACACATGATCCCATGTATTTCGAATGGCTTAGCAACATGCTTATATCAATAGTGGTAGCATAGTCACCACCTTTTATGTATTTTGATTAGTTATACACAATGAACTCTAGAAGTATTGATTTCTTTATTTGTATTGTTAATAATGTGACTCGAGTGGTTTCCCACTTGTTTTGAATTTCTGCATGAATACCTTGATTTTACACTGTCTTACAAAAGTTGGTTCATCAGTTTTTGAGGTGATAAGCCTCATGGTCAAGTTAATCTGCAAGTACACACTGGAGTGCGACGCACCATTGACCTTGAAACGTTCAGTCAGTTAGCGAAACCTGGTAAACAATATTGTGATCTTGAAAAAAAATGTGTTTAATGAAGTGTTATTTCACTAAATGGTATATCTGGCAAGTTTCAGGTTAGGTTTGGGGAAAATCAAGTTAAAATTTGGCCTTAGGACAGGTGAGGGCGACAGTAGGGTTGGTTCGAGTTAGATTAGGACTAGTTTAGGGATATCTTCACGTTAGGGTTAGGTTAAGGGGGGATTAGGATTATTTGTTAGGGTTAGAAGACAGATATAATCACATGCATGTGGTCAGATTACTCTGTTGGTTCTCCATTACAATTCTCAGAAGGTTTAGCTAATTATTCTTGTCTGACGTTCGCTTTGCTTGCAAACGAAAGCATATAACAATTTATAGAATGTAGAGATATCCACCATATTTGTTAATTACGTTCATACTAAACGCAGTTAATTTAGTTTTATTTGGACGGCTAAACAGCATACTATGTGCATTCACTCTAATCCTTGTTTTTACTTCATGAGCCAGTTTTGATTGTTAATGCTTGGCCGTCCAAATGTTGCATATGAGGAAAATTAAATCAGACTTTGCACTGTCTAACGGACTACTCTCTCATCTTAGATCTCCAAGTTTCTAAAGTCATTGCAAATGAGCGCGGTTATTTTAGTTTCTGCTGTGAGTGAGTATACCCATATTACTATAAAATAAATAAGTAGTTTAGTTATGCGAGCGACAATTTCCTTTGCAATGTGTTAATATTTTAGGGCAACTATGATCAATATGTGCGTACAAGATGTGAATTGGAGGAAAATCAAATGAAACGTTTTAAATGGGAACAAGATCAAATCGCCTCTATGAAAGTAAGTTGAACAGTTTTATTAATTGAATATTGTTATGTTAAGTAAGCTGGATATGATATCCAGTTACTTCATTGTTTTTCTGTTTTTTTATAAGATTTGATATTATTGTCGGGCTACTGTTGTTGTTACGCCCTGCCAAAGGTCTTTATCTTCGGTCGATCTTAATTATTCATTTTTCCAGGATTGTGTTATAGTGTTGGAAGCGTTTTTGTCATTACTTTCTTTCCAGTACTACAGACTTTTGTTGAATTCAGTGCTTTATTCATTTCTTGTAAGAAGGGAAGACGATATAAGTATTGGTGAAATAAACAAAGAGGTAAAGGTATTAGTTTCAAACTGTGCCACTGTGAATCTTCAGCTTCTAATCCTTGATATACGGATAGTCCCACTTATCTGGAGTTCAGTTTGTTTCAAACTTCGGATTAAAGAGTAAAGTCTTCATCGATTGGTACCGGATTTTGTCATGGATACTCTTAGGCTGTTTACATCGACTGACCCTGTACCTGAATCTAGAGAATAAGCTGTCTTGTTTATTGCTTCCCAGTCTCTATTAAGTCGACTTCTCCATGTAATATCTCTACGTTGTATTCACGTTTTTCCTTAAGTTATAAGTTCAGTATGGTTAGCGCAACGGTGGCATGGTGGTTAGGACTCTCGCCGACTATGCATCCATGCCAACGCACACCCAATATCAATGGTCGGCATTTGGCAGCTTTATGCTTTACTTTTTTAACCCTAGTATTGATGTAGCCCATTACGACAATGCTGCATGCCAAGTAATTCACAAAGGGAAACTTACGGGAAGCCTTCGAAGTGAGGACGGGAGTGAGACAAGGATGGCTACTATCACCAATGATTTTCCTGATTGCAGTAGATTGGATAATGCGACAGACAACAGGCAATGAGGAGACAGGCACAAAATGGACTCACACAAAAAACTTGGAGGATCTGGACTTCGCCGATGATATATGCCTGATTTCCCACAAATTGGAAGATATGCAAGTGAAAAGCAACAAGTAAGCAGAAGAAGCATCCGGAGAAGATAGGACTTCAGGTGAACATAGAGAAAACAGAGGTGATGAAGATTCCTGGCCTGCAGCAGTAGCAACAACAACAGACAAGAATCAGCCAGCATAAATGGGAGGAACCTGAAAGAAACAACCTTCTTCACCTACCTACCTAAATGGCAAGCATCGTTTCAACTACAGGCGGACAGAACTGACCAGGATATCAAAGTCAGAATCGGAAAAGCAAGACAAGCTTTCATTACTCTCAAGTGCTCGTGGAGGTCAACAACACTCAGCATCAAAGATAAGATTCGGATTTTCAACTCCAATGTGAAGTCAGTGCTGCTCACTATATGGATCAGAGACTTGGCGAGTCATAAAGAGCACCTCAGACAAACTACATACCTTCATTAACAGCTGTCTTCTCTCAGATGGCCAGGAAAGATCAGCAACAGGAATCTCTGGGAGCGAACCAACCAGGAACCGATTGTGAAACAAATAGGCAGGAAGAAATGGAGATGGATTGGTCACACCCTGAGGAAACCAAGCGACATCATTAGAAAAGCCCTCGAGTGGAACCCGAAAGGGAAACGGCGAGTTGGTCGTCAGAGTGAGGGTGACTTGGAGGAGGTCATGCGAAGAGGAGATGAAAGCATGTGGGCAGACTTGGAGCGGAGTGAAAAAGTTAGCAGAAAACCGAAGGCAATGGAGATGCGCAGCTGAAGCCCTATGTTCCTCTAGGAACTAAAGGATATAATAATAATAATAATAATAATTACTGTGATCATATACCACCTTTAACAAGGGCAAAATGAATGACATTTTGCTCAAGCAAGGCGTAGAAGGTGTTTGTACTTTGCGAGCAGTTTTCTTCAAATACATTGTATCATTCATTTATGGTAATTACATGAACTTTACTTCTATCAGCATTGAATTAATCTCCCATTTACTAGTGTTTTTGCTATATCCACAACTTTGCTTTGAAGCAAACTGCTGAATTATGGTTGTCCATGCATTCCTACATGTGATGCATACATAAGAAACGATGAGTCTCGCAGTGTTATACAATAATATATGCTGATGACTACGTTTCGAGGACAAGTTATTGCTTATAGTCATATCAAGGTACTCACACTACTTCGTTTAATATAATTCCATTATTTTTCATCGCTTGACTTGATTGGTAATAGTAGTAGTATTTTCCATATTTCCGGTATGAATGATGAGTCGTGCCCACAACGTCATATCAGTAGAGATGTTACTGTATGGCATTGTGAGATTTTTCCAAAAAAATTGTTCTCCATATTATCCGACCATAGTTTTTATTAACTGTTATGTTTCTGAGCTTGCTTGGCAACATAAACTATTTTCATTGTGCTTTGCGTTCGATACCGACTGAATTTCGGTTGTTCTGAGAATAAAAAATTACTACTACAATCCTTGTTGTCCTCGTATAATTCTTAGTACAAGATTTAGTTAGTAGCGCTGTGTGCGGAAGTTGCATCTTTATTTAATTGCAGAGCAGTGCACAAACAATGCATCATTTCCGAGTGGTTCATTCAATCATCCATAATGCATTATTTAATCTTGCCATTTATTATTACTTGTGTTGACATAGAATCACATCAGTAAGTGTGTATTCATAACAAGGTCAAAACACGATAATAAAAGCAGACTTCTAGCATACACTAGTTGGTTAGTTACTTCAAAATGATAACTTTCCATTGGTATTAATATGGCTGCGTTGAATATGCTACCCCTAGCTATCGTCATATATACTTGATCAGCACTATCATCACTCAGATATATTAAATCTGCATATTCGACAGAATAAACTGTTCAAGTTAACGTGATTCCTATGCCAAATTTTTTCTCGTAAGCTAAGTGTTATACAGAGTTCAGGTTTACTCAACCGGATCTCGTAATTTGAATAATGCAACTCGTAGTCTGTAGCTGGCATGCTTTATAGCTAGAGGTTCAGTTTCACCTCTGTTATGTTTTTCTTCTCGACATTGTCAACCTGGGTGAGAGCATGGAGAACTGACATCAACATCCTTTCTTGGTTAAGATTGTACTCTGAACAACTTAAAGATAATTGTAGACAGGTTAAAGTGTTTCTGAATTGTTTCACTGTAGTGGTTCCACTGGCCATCAAATCTGACTTACATTTCCCATAAGGCTGTAGATTAATTCTTGCTTTTATAATGTAACTTCCATTCTACACCCCCCGTTACGCCCTTTATATTGTAATCAATTAAAATGGTAGTCCTATTGAATGTTGTTAGCACTCTTTCATTATACAGGTATAAGGGACCAACACTGTATAAAATCCCTTTATTTTGTAGTGAATGACTAAATAAGACTTTATTCTAAACTTTTTCCCTATGGCTAGGATTACATAGCTCGATTTGGACATGGAAATAAGAAAATGGCTCGTCAAGCGCAGAGTAAAGAAAAAGTTTTACAGAAAATGGTAGCCGGTGGTTTGGCAGAAAAGGTTGAAGGTGATAAAACGTTGACATTTTACTTCCCTGACCCTGGAACAATCCCACCTCCTGTCATCCAGGTTCAACAAGTTAGTTTTCGATATGGACCAGGAAAGGTAAGAGTATTGAGTGTGAAACCTTTATATATCTTCGTGTGTTAGTGTTTTGATAATATTACATACCGCCGTCATCGTTCCTTCGAATTGTTCTATGTTTATCTTTAAGTGGTAAGCTGATATGGTATATCATGTCTATTCGTTAGGAATACACTGCAGTCTTCTGTAAGAAACTTAATGTATCTGTCCAAGATGGAGCAGTGTGGTAACTAATGTATAGAATAGAATTGGAATGAAGTAGGGAGAGTGAGTCAATTTCTAAGGATGCAAATTTTCGCTGACTAAACTGGGTGGGATGTTTGCTACATATATCTAGCCACTGCTTTTGTTAACGATCGATATTAGAATTAAGATGGAAAAGAGTAGAGAGTGCTCAGAAAAACATTGGAAATCTATGACATAAGTGACTGTTGATCTAAACAACATGAATTACTGTACCATCGCTTGGTTAGCGTCTACCCGGTACTAATGATCAATTAATGTGGGCTCCAAATGAAACAGTTAGAAGCCGTTCACAATGACACAGATGTGTGTCTATTTCCTATGATCGAGATCCTGAAATTCTTATTACTCTTCTTGAAGTTATTCTTTTTCTCAACACTTTCGTCTGTTGCAGTATCACTGCACCTCTGTTTCCTTCATTTGTACGATTTTTTAAAGTGTGAAAACTTGAACTGATAGACGTATGTGGGGGTAATCTTCGCGTTGAGTTTTTTTAACGTTTTGTTTATCTACTTTAGTCGGGTTAATTACGTTTGTTGACTTCAGGAATTATTAATAGTAGCTTGCTTTTGACGACAATGTACAGAATAAAATAGAATGCAGACAAATACAGTTGGATTAAAGTGCACTTTTCAATACTCAAGTAAAAAGTACTACTTAAATGATAACAAAGAAATAAATTCAAGTGTTGGTTTGTAGGGATTTGATTGGTTACAGGATTTCATCATGAGCTGACATTAGTTAGAGAACCATTGAAAACCTGGGAGTACTGGACCCCTATTCATGTAAGTAGTTACCTGGGGTTCTAGTGAGAAGTCGTGAACACTAGGGTGCAGCAGGTCGGGTGTGAGAACAAATACTCGCCGAAGACATTGGCTAGGGGTCACGCTATGTCGTGAATTGGCAGAATTTGGAATTCATGCACCGGCCATTGGATCGGGTTCCAGTGGCTTAATGGTATACGAGCTCGCCTTGTAACCAGCAGGTCCTGAGTTCGAACGGTGACGGTGAGTGCGTAGCGCTGAAGAGTTCCAAACTAGGCTGACGAAACAGCTGTCCAGTACTCTCAGGTTTTCCAATGGTTCTCTCCCTAATGTCAGCTCATGATGAAATCCTGTAAAGAAATAACTGTTTGAAATACTCACTTAGGCGGGGGTGGGGTGGTACGTGAAGGGCAGAAATACACAGATCAATGAGTTACACCTATTGTTTGAAACCTGATGATACTACCAACTGCCCAAAATTTAGGTGGTTAGAGTAGAATCTTAACCGATAACAAAACTTAACTAAATGGCGATTGCCTGGATTTATAAGCTCCATTGCTTAAGTACAAAGAAGAAACATAAAAACCTATACAAAACTTCAATGACTTATATTCAAGATCTTTGTTAAAACTAGTATCGATTCAAAAGTCAATGAACAGCAAGGGTATGAAACTATACTATTTGGTTTAATGAAACTAATGCATTAAATAGTGACAATTGTTCCAAGTGTAAACACCGAGTCAACGGAAAACTAATCCATATACGTCGATCACAGTTCACATGCAGAGAACAGAAATGCAGTAATACTACAACACAAGAAAGTGTTGAGAGAGAAGGAGAGTAATACACAGGTTTTAGGATTTCCATCATAAAAAACGGATACATATGAGTCATTGTGAATGACCTTTGATGACTTCACTAGTAGCCTACACCAATTGGTCCTGAGTATGGAGAAGACTCCCTCTACTCCCACTTAGTTGGTGTACATCTTCCCAAGTGGTTTAGACCATCAGGTAGTTATATTTTTGGTTACAGAATTCCATCATTAGCTGACATTGGTTAGAGAGCCATTGGAAAACCTGGAGGTACTGGACAGCTGTTTCGTCAGCCTAGTTTGGGACTCTTCATCAGTATGCACCCATCGCCAGGGTTCGAACCCAAGACCTTCTGGTTACAAGGCGAGCTAGCTCGTATACCATTAAGCCACTGGGACCCGATCCAATGGCCAGCCCATGAATTCTAACTTCTACCAATTCACGACATAGCGCGACCACTAGCCAATGTCTTCGGCGCGTATTTGTCCTCACACCCGACCTGCTGCACCCTACTGGTCACGACTTTTTTGTCTGAATTGTTGTGATTCTGTAGATTGTTCTCGAACATAAGGATGCGATTAATTCCTTGTAGTCGATATGCTGAATTAACCTGACAAAGATGGTTAACCAAAGTGTTACTTTATTCAAAGATTACTCTATGCTTAAGAAAAGAATTACAAGTACTATATTGTGAGAAAAGTATGATTACAACAGTAACTGAGCTAGAAATCTAAACAGAGATTCATTCAATAATTCTTCTGTCATGCATTAATTTTAATCATAAGTAAGTAGAACTATAGTTCGTAGAATTAGATGAAAATACTTTTTGTCTTCTAAATATCTATATTGGGATTTTCGCTATTTTTTTAACACAATACTTACACTTTTCTATCTGATTAGTAGATTTTTCATATACAAAGATTGTGTATGGAATAAAATTTATCTAGGTGGGGGGGGATTGATTCATTTTTGCTTGAACTGTGAATATTTCTAGCTGAATTATTTTCCCCTTGCTTAAATTAGATTAGGGGAAATCTGTCGCAAGTAGTGTGTTATGCATCTTTATGATTGGTGGTGTTCAGTAAAGTTATTATTATGCTGTGTACAGAAGAAAAAAAGGCTTATAATTATTAATTTCTTACAATGTTGTCGACAACGATAGTTCTTTTTCCTTTTTTATCAAGTCCTGGAGATTAATACATGATTATTTTCTGTTTGTTCTTTCATCTAGCCGTGGATTTATCGAAATCTTGACTTAGCCATTGATTTAGATCGTCGTGTTGCTTTAGTTGGTCCAAATGGTGCGGGTAAATCAACCTTGTTGAAGTTGATTGCTGCTGAAGTAAGCTTTATTGGTGGGAATATTCATCGCTACTATATACATGTATATATATATATATATATATATATATATATATATATATATATATATATATGCCCTTCGACTCCGTGGATCGAAAGGTACTATGGCAACGTCTGACTGTGAAGGGAGTGCCAAGAAAGTACATTGCACTAATCAAGGCACTCTATTCATGTAGCCGTGTAAGGGTTTATGGGGAATTGTCATCTGAATTGATAACAACCAGTGGTGTCCGACAGGGATGTCCACTTTCCCCATTTCTGTTTAACTTCATCATAGATATGCTAATGGAAGTATCCTTAACTGAACGTAATGACTTAGGAATCGACTTGTTACCAGGGAATAGTCTTATGGACTTAGAATATGCAGATGACATAGTCCTGTTAGGGGAGGATGCTGACAAAATGCAGAGTCTTCTGAACACCTTGAGCAGCAATCTTCGTATGTTTGGCATGCGACTCGCCCCTGTAAAATGTAAGATGCTGCTCCAGGACTGGACTACGTCCACTCCTCGCTTAGTGATAGGGAGTGAAGTGATAGAACATGTTGACCACTTCACCTATTTGGGAAGTTGTATTAGCACCAACGGACTGATTGGCGATGAAATCTCAGCACGGATCCGAAAAGCTCGAGCTGCTTTCGCTGACTTACACCATCTCTGGCGTAGGCGTGACATCCGGTTATCAACCAAGGGACGTGTGTACTGCTCATCAGTTCGCTCCGTCCTTCTCTATGGCTCTGAAACATGGCCAATACGCGTTGAAGACATGAAAAGGTTGACTGCTTTCGATCATAGATGTCTGCGATCTCTTTCTCACGTTAGGTGGTTTCACAAGGTAAGTAATGTTGACGTTAGGCGTAGAGTGTTGGGCAAAGAGGGAAAATCAATCGACGAGGCTATAAAGTTACATAGATTGAGATGGCTAGGTCACGTGCTACGCATGCCTAATCATCGCCTCCCCCGACGGGCATTACTAGCTGATATAGGTGCAGGTTGGAAAAGGGTAAGTGGTGGCCAAACAAAAACATGGCCTCATCAATCCATGAAATCCTTGACAGTTAAACTCAGTCGGTCAGGTAGGGAGATGCAGACTTCCGGGTTGGGGCCCTCGGGACTCTAGGAATCAATGGCTGGAGACAATAGGTGACATGGCTCAAAATCGTTGTCAATGGCGCAGATGTATTCAGTCTCTGTAATCTTTCATGTTCCTTTCTACCATTACCCATTTTGTTTCACTCTTATACTTGTCAAACTCTATTGATTCTCTTCACTCATCTTCTTGTCTACCTGTGTGTCTGTCTGTCTGTTTTCGACATAGAACTTTGCACAAATGTGCGGAAGTTCAAGTCGCCACATTCCGTGTAGCACGCGAAGCAAGAGAAGAAAGTACAAGAAAAGCATAATAGAAACAGTGAGCAGAGGTGTGAGACAAAGGAGTAATAAAGAAATACAAAACAGTTTCATTGGAGATCATAAGTCACAAGGAGTGGATGCATCTGCGCCACTGAGAACGATTTTGAGCCATGTCACCAATTGTTTCCAACCATAGATTTTTACCGTCCCGAGGACCCCAGCCTGGAAGTCTACACCTTCCTACGTGGCTTAGACCAACTGTTGTGGATTTCATTGACTGATGCCAAGTTTTTGTTTGACCGCCGCTAGCTTTTTTCCAGCCTGACCCTATATCCGCTAACATTGCTCGTCGAGGGAGGCGATGGCTTGGCATACGTAACACATGTCCTAACCATCTCAGTCTTTGTAGCTTCACGACTTCGTCGATTGATTTCCCTGTTTACCTAGAACTCTACGCCTAACCTCCATGTTGCTCACCTTATTATGCCACTTTACACGGGAAATAGAACGCAGGCACCTATGATCAAAGACAGCTAGTCTTTTCATGTCTTCCACTCTCAGTGGCCAGGTCTCACAACCATAAAGGAGGACGGAGCGGACTGATGAGCAGTACACCCGCCCTTTGGTCGATAGTCGAACATCTCGTCTACGCCAGAGTCGGCGTAAACTAACAAATGCGAAACGAGCCCCTTGTATTCGTGCTGAGATTTCGTCAGAGATCAGCCCGTTGGCACTGGCTGATGGTACTTCCCAAATAAGTGAAGCGGTCAACGTGCTCTACCACTTCACTTCCTATTTTTAAACTAGGCGTCGATGTAGTCCAGTCCTGTAACATCATCTTGCATTTGGCGGGAGCGAATCGCATGCCAAACATTCGTAGATTGCGGCTCAAGGTGTTTAGAAGACTCTGCATTTCGTCAGCGTCTTCGCCTAGAAGGACTATATCGTCTGCATATTCCAAGTCAACGAGATTATTCCCCGGTAGCAAGTCAATCCCTGAGTCGCTGAAGTCACCTAGGGTTAAGTCCATTAACACATCTATGATGAAGTTGAATAGAAAAGGAGATAATGGGCATCCTTGACGGACACCACTGGTCGTCATCAGTTCAGATGACAGCTCGCCGTAAGCCCTCACCTGGCTGTATGAGTACGAGTAGAGTGCCTTAATCAGTGCAATATATTTTCTCGGAATTCCCTTTACAGCCAAGCATCTCCAGAGAACTTCCCGATCGACAGAGTCGAATGCTGCCTTTAGGTCAAGAAATATAATGACTGTTGGACGCCGGTAGGAATGCCTATGTTCTAGAATCTGTCGGAGGGTGAAGATATGATCAATACACCCTCTTCCTGGTCTAAAGCCTGCCTGGCTCTCTCGTGTTTGTGCTTCCCGAGCACCACTCAGTCTACGCATGATTATTGAGCCTAAGACTTTAGATACTATATTAGTCAAGCTAATCCCTCTGTGATTATCACAGGAAGACTTGTCTCCCTTCTTGTATATGGGGATAATCAGTGACTTACACCAACCCGATGGGACTTCTTCTGATTCCCAGACGCTGCCTAGTACCTCAGTTAATCCGGACAGTAAGCTGTCTCCACCGTACTTAAATACCTCTGGAGTCATTCCATCAGGTCCCGCTGCTTTGCCTAGTTTCAGATTGGTGACAGCTTTAGTAACCTCAGTTAGTGACGGAGGACCTGTGTCTATATCCCATTCAGGGAGGTGTTGGATGCTCGGAAGGTTGAGCGTGGCTGTGGGCAAATTAAACTGCTCCTCATAATGCTCTTTCCAACGATCCAGTCGTCTATCCTGGGAGCTAATTATAGTGCCATTTTTTTCCGAGATTGTCTCACTATGATTTGTCTTCTCCCACCCGTTTCCCTGATGAGTCCAAAGAGTTGCCTGGTGTTGCCTATCCTCGAAGCTTTCTCCATCTCTTTGGCTTTTGTCGCCCACCACTGTTCACGGTCCTTGCGGAGACTTTTCGTAAGTTTCCTCTTGTGCAGCTTTCGCTCCTCATTGAATTCGGAGCTCGCCGGAATAAGTCTTCTAGCATCTATCAGTTCGGATGAGGCGGTGGAGATCCAGTGGTTTTTACTCACCTTTGGGTTTACCTTATTCACAGCTTTTACAGCTGTATCTATGGCTGCCTGGATATTTTTCCAAGCTTCTTCAGGGTGAGCACAGCTGTCGAACACAGATATGTGTTTAGCTAGTTCTTCCTGAAATACGGATTTAGTTTCCTGATCGAGCTGGGGACGTGATGGTTTTACCGCCAGCTGTTTCCTACGTCCGTTCAGTCGTAAGCACACCCGAGCGCGGACCAGTGCATGGTCGGTATCTACGCACGTGTTCCAGAAGGAGCGACAATCTCCTACCGACCCACGCCAACGATAGCTTATTGCTATGTGGTCTATTTGTGTCCAGCGTTGGTTTGATGAAGGGGGTCTCCAAGTCAAACAGTGTCTCTCCTTGTGTTTGAAGTTAGTGCTTACAAGAAACAAATGATTATCAGAACAGAACTGTAGGAGACGGTCACCGTTGTCGGTTCGCTGGCACGGAACTCCATAGGTGCCACCGACATCCTTCTCAGATTGACACAATTTCCCTACTTGAGCGTTAAAGTCACCAGCTAGAACGACTATGTCTGAGCGTTTAGCCTTTCCACCAAACTAGACAGCTTTTGGTAGAACTCATCCTTCGTTTCATCTGAACTGCAGTCAGTGGGGGCGTAGGCGGAGATTACGAAAAGGCATCGGCGAGTAGTGCAGTCCTTCCTCCTTCTTACTGATCCGTTCAGGCGGACAGCACACATTCGGCTATCTACCGGGATCCAGTCAAGCAATGTCTTTTCTGCCCTAGTACTCAAAGCTATCCCTACGCCAGCTAATCCTCGTGAACTAGCTGTGGCATCTCCTGACACCCTCAAGGTGAATTTTGCAGATTCAACCTGTTGGCCAGGTGGGGTTAGGTGAATAACCACACTTGGGTCTTGTATGCGTGTTTCTGAAACACAGCATACATCAATGGCTCGTGATGCCAGGGTCTTGGCTAGTGATGCTTGTTGTCCTATTTGGCAAAGTGTCCTAACATTAAGAGCTCCTATATGAAATTGGTGGCGCGGCTTTAAGAGGCTGTCGGTGGTGGTTTTTTGGCTTCCATCGTTTTTAGTGGACGCAGAGTGGAGAGGAAGTGGAGAGCTATCAAGTCGAGGAGTTGCATCAGTGGAAGGAAGGCAAGATGATAGAGATGAAGATGAAGACAAAGATGAGTGAGTAATAGAGAGGTTTCGCGTGCATTTCGGATTGTGAGGGCGATTGTTACTTCCCGGCTGCCCACACCGTGGAAGTTGGAATAAGAACAGTGAGTAAATTAATACATGGAACTTGAAAACAGCATACTATGCCGAAAACCACATCATGTCATTTCAGTAACTATGATCTATATATTCAAGACTCGGTTGAGGAATCTGAGTTGCACAGGCTTCCAATGTAATATAATAAAGTTGACTCGCTCGTTTAGGTACTGAAACTCTAATCGCTGAGTTGCTCGTTCACATCCTACTCAACCTACTACTACTTGGCAGTCAGACAGTAGCTCTTTCTTCAGCAGATGAATATGCACGCAATTGTACGTAAGTGAAGTCTTACTCCACTTACTGAGACGATATTAGGGGTGGTAACTCAAGCAGATATACACTCTATGAAGGTCTCTGACTACGCAAGATAGCAATATACAGTACTGGAATTTCGATCTAGTATACTGGATGAATATATATATATATATATATATATATAAATATATATTCCTCAGAATACGAAAGCGAAACGTACTACATCTTTTATGTTATTTTATTAGAGATATGGGAAGCAAACAACAAATACACTTCGTTTAAAAATTAAATGATGAAGTAGGGTCATATTTTCAATATACTTACATCATGCATACTTTTGTAAGTGAAGCTGCGCTTCAGAGATCTTGGAGCATATTTTGGACTTTCAACCATGGTGACTGAATATTTGAATTCGCTGATTTTATTGCTGCAGATATACAAGAACAATAAAAATGTCAGTACATGATGATAAAGCTACAGTTGGAGATTTCACAATAAAATTGTGATAAAAATGGAATAAGATTCTTCTTAGTTCACTGTCTTTGACTACACTGTCGTGATTAATAAACTTTGGAAACATTATTACCTACAAGTCAGTTTTTAACTGGGAAGACTTCAGTAGCACATTTGAAGTTAATTTCCTTCGACATATTAACTCTTAAATCAAAGAAAATCATACAATGGGATTCTTGAGAACAGTTTAGTACACTTTATGGCATTAACACCAAATATCGCCATTTCGACAATATAGAATACCAAAAACATTACAAACAAATCATTTTAAATCAATCACTTGTTATTAGCACACATCTGAAAACATGGGGGAATTTAATAAAACGAAAATCAATTAGAAATCAGTTACCCTAAGCAATTTTTAATGTGCAGACATTTATCGTGTGCTGATGATAAAAGTCAGTCTGCCAATCCGAAGTAAGCGTAGTGGAATGCGCATGCTAGCTCTTAAGTATTAGAGTGAGTAGGCCAACGGATTATTATGTAAATGGGAAGGTTACCTGCTATAACACAAAAGTTAAATACAAAGACCCAACGCAGTTACAACAAATCCATATGATATACAACTCATCAGTGAAATAACTTATGCAACAAAGTGCATACGACTTGTAAGATCAAACTTAGAAGACTACAATGCTCGACATAAAAATAATGTAGGTGATTATTTCACAGGCTTGGTAGCTACGATAATCAGATTCACTCAGAGCAGGATGACACATAATATCCTGTGTTTTGACAGGAGCTTCTACAGTGAATTGTTCATTCATGCACAAAGTTGGAGATGATATTTTAACAAATACACACATGTTTCAGGTTCATCCACCGAAATAATATGAAAATTGCTTGTATCAGAGCACAAAAACTGCACCTCCGATTTCGATGTCTGCCGGTTATGTCACAAACGCTACCGTTTATATAAAACTGCTGTGATATTTCGGCTTGTTTTCATTCTAGGAAGAGATACATACGAAAAATAAATGAATACCTGTGAAGAGTTATCCCAATCATAATCACGTCCGTACACACCGAGAAGTGTCTCAGAAGACTCCTCGATCCTTCATGGTATTGAACAACATGCTTGCGGAAACAAATTCTAGGTCCACCAGCCTTTTGTCGATGTGCCTATTTGGAACGTGGCAACTGGAACTGCTGCACTTCGGTGCCAAGTTCTATGTTGAATCCAGACATATAAATATATATATATATATATGCCTTGGTGGTTCAGTGGTTCGTCGATCATTCGTGTAGTCTGACGTTCAGGCTCCGACCGACGCACTCTTAACTTTCACTTAGTAGTGGGTCCAGTAAAAAGCAGAGGTTAGGTGTGAGTCTGGTCACTCCACCTTGTAAAAAATAAACACCATTGCTACTGAAATCGTAAAGATCAGGCTTGCGAATCCCTTTGGTTCATCCGGAATATTCGGAAAGAATAAAATGAAGTCGAGACGACCTGTTTAAATCACAGGGCTACCTAAATTTCTTCAGTTTCTTATTATCTTAACTATTCAATCAATTATTGTCCGTGAATCGTCAAATGCACTCACGTATATTTTTTAAATTGGCTTTCAACCTAATGCTGTGCATTTCTCAGACACAAAAGAATTATACACCACTTTTCAAATCCAACAGCACTGCATCTAAATGATGTACTATAGTTTGCTATGGAATAAGTTACGCTGAGAATTCTTTATATTGTTTAGACATATTTTGTGCAGAATGAAGCTGTTATTATTATTATTACTATTATTATTATTGAATTTTTAATATATTTCATTATTCTGTCTTTCTTATGTTATACATTAGCTGGACCCAACTGATGGTCTTATTCGTCGTCATTCACACCTTCGCATAGGTCGTTATCATCAGGTAAATATAGTCGACTTCTATAATTCAGTCTTGTATATGTATAAACACACACGGTTGAAGTTGTTCTCTTTTATATTCATGCGAATAATGTCTCTTTTTTTTTCTTCTAAATCGACGTACTTTATTTCCAGCATTTAGGTGAAATGTTGGATATTAATATGAGTCCAGTCGACTGGATGATGAAGTGTTATCCAGAAATTAAAGAACGTGATGATATGCGAAAGTTACTTGGACGTTATGGTTTAAGTGGACCTCAACAGGTTAGTTTTTATGAAGTATTTACAAGCAAACTTTATATGCAGTTTATAACAATTTGTCGCTGTTGTTGTTGTTGTTAGTTAGTTAGTTATTGATGAATGTCGAAAACTATTCTGTGTAATTAAATTCAGACATCTCTGAAACATAAAATAATCTAGCAAAGAATATCCTTTTCGGTAAATTACTCTTCTGGCTTTACAATTGTATATATGTTTATATGCAGAAAATATTCAAGATTGGTAGTTAATAACAATATTAGTGTTTTTTTTAGATAATATCGATTTGTAAAGTAAGATCACAGTGGAATTACAGTTCATTAAAGATGCTTAAATATTAAAAATAATAATAATAAAGATATAGTATCAAATAGAATATCAACTAAAATTAGGAAAATTCCACAAAAATCCAGGATTATTCAAACGTGGATGGCCAAGGTAAGGATAATATTTGAACTAACTTCTTTTGGACGCACAAATTAGGCTTGTTAATATAGATCCCAACGGCTAGCCTCAGCAATATTTAGTAGTCGAACTCCTAAGGTGAAATTGAGATTTGTTGGTATACTCAGTTACTTTGTGTTTTATAGATAGATGTCTGAATGAATATTTTCGCTCTAATCAAATTCAATCAAAATAATATTACTGTAAAAGCAATCCAATATCTTCATGAAATCCCAAGAATAAATTCCTTCCCCCCCCCCCCTACAACCTAAATATTATCCAAAATGCAGAAATTACAAGTCGTCAGTCAGTCGTTCACTAATAGGAAATCAGAAGTAACATGTGCTGGGAGTGATACAAGCACTTATATTAGTAGTAGACGAAATCATTATCAGTGTTAAAACGGTTGGTTATTTATGAGACAGCTAGGTAAATATATAAATTGCTTAACTGGGAGAAAATGTTAACTTAGAGAGATATAATATAACAAATATGTAGTAAATGTTTATAGTTGATTAAAAAGATGCCCGTTAACAATTTCACAAGACTGATTACTTGAACGAGGATATCTTCTTTTCGGTAACTTCTACACTAGGTTCTACAGTAACATGTATTCATAATAATTAGGGAACTATATTATTATTATTATTATTAACAACGTTAATGTTTTTCTGAATACCACTGAATAAATAATATCAATAGATTACATTTCTAATATGCATCAATATAACAATAAACTGAATATCAGATATATTCAGAAGAATAATAGAGAATTTATGAATTTGTTAGTTCCACAGGAGATCAGGGTAGTGTTATGTTCTAGTTTCCCCGTCGCCAAATTGTTATGTACTCGTCGATAAATTATTGTTATGGACTGGTCGAGAAACTAATAGTCCTGACGCGAGAAGGCGGAAATCAGAAGACCACTAGGTTTGCGATGATACTTCTATTGTCCAAACACAAGGAGACGAAAATAAATGGTCTCACACCAAAGTGGTAAGCAAGTCAAGTAGTTGTAAAGTAAAGTAGTTCACACAAATTGTGAATGCGCATATATATAAATAATTCAGACAAGCGTGGGAAAAATCATTAGACAGTCTTAACATGAATGGCTAATTATAATGGAGTGTCGATCCAATTATACATAGCGAATATAGCAGACATGTGAACAAACATATATGGATATATGTCACCAAGCAACGGACTGTCAACAAACACTCATATTATATATAATATAATATAAGGAGAATACACATTATTAAAGGAGACAAGTCCATACAAGTGAAGTGGTCACAGACTAACCGAGCAAACAGAAAGAGAGACCAACATGCACACACACACATAAATATATATATGTGGATACATATCAGGTAGCCATAGTGGTTTGACCTCTTTCTTGTGCTCACAGGATCACTGGCTGTTTTAAGGGAATTGGAACAGCCTCTATTATTTGGAATACTCAGTATTTGTGGAGACCTATGGCAATTTATTCTATATTCCATGAAAAGATTAGCTGTCTTTGATCATAGGTGCCTTCGCTCTATTTCCCGTGTGAAGTGGTATAATAAGGTGAGCAATATTGAGGTTAGGCTTCAGTCGAGTGCTAGGTAAGGAGAGGAAATCAATCGACGAGGATGTGAATTACATCGACTGAGATGGCTAGGACATGTGTTACGTATGTCTAGTCCATCATCTTCCTCGACTGGCGGGCAATGTTAGGTGACATAAGTTCAGGCCGGAAAAGAGCTAGTAGTGGTCAAACGGAAACACGGCACCAGTCAATAAAATCCACAACAGTAAGTTTCATCCAGCCACGTAGGAAGGTGTAGACTTCCTGACTGGTTGGGGTCCTCGGGACGGTGAAAACCATTGGCTGGAGACATTTGGTGATATGGCTCAAAATCGTTCTCAGTGGCTGGCGCAGATGCATCCACTCCTTGTGACTTGTGTTTTCCAATGAAACTATATTGTTCTTCGTTATTACTATTCCTTTGTCTCACACCTTATTTACTGTCCCTATTATGCATTTCTTCTACTTTCTTCTCTTGCTTTGTGTGCTACAAAGAGAGCATGTGGGGACTTGAACTGCGGCACATATGTGCAAAGTTCTATGTCGAAAACAAACACACAGGCAGATTCTATATTCGATAGATGATAGAAAAAGACCTTACAGTGCCAACTTTGTTGCCTGTTTGGTTGAGGCAATCTAATGTAGAACTTTTAATAGTTTTGACTACGCCTTTTATTTAGAAACACTGGTAGGCGTTTCTAAGGGCGAAAAATCAAGTTCCTAAAGCAACGGCCAATATAACTGGCTCTATAGGAGCAGTTGAGTTGATTCGCCTAAAACAACCGGAGCTCTGTATACTTGAGAAACAGGTCCAACGACTATTACTGCTCTGGTCTGTTGTGTAGAACCTATACAAATTGTCTGTTATGTGTTTCTTAATTTATCTGATATATTCAATTTAGTGTTATAACAAATGCATCTTATTACTTACAGATGTTGCTTTTGAACTACAATCTGTTGATATTATTATTATTGATTCGATGTTATTTAGAAAACATTGATATTGTTAATGATAACAGTTTAAAAAAGTTATTATGGCTATAGAACTGTATGACGTGATGAAAAAGATATCGAAAAGAATATTACTTGCCCACTCACTAATCAGTGTTTCGAAATGTTTATAGGCTGTCTACAGGGAAGGATAAAAGGTAGGATGAGTAACATAAGCGGATATGGAAGGTTAAATGATATGGTGAAATCACCAGATGAATGGGGGAGGGGGGTTGATAACTGTCGCTTTTTGAATACATGATGACTGTATGTGATATGCTAAGGACTTTTTACCTTATAACTACTTTGTATTATATCAAGTTATTCATGTAATCCAACATATTAGTAAGATGAGCCTTTTTAGAGCAGCTTCTAAACCCATCATCAGTTGTTAGTTTTTCAAGAAATGTATAGAAATACAAATGATAACTCTACTTTCATTCCTTCCAGTGTATACGCGCTTTGAGATGTATTTGTGAATGGAGAGACATAATTGATGTTAGCAGGGGATGGAGATCAGCTCACTTTGGATTGCAGCGAGCAAATCCTTTGATACAAACGGGATTAACTTAACCGTTTCACAGTTGATTAATAAGCTCAGCAAAATTTGACAGTTGTCAGTGTAGTGCTTTGATAATTGAAGGAGATAACAGAATAGTATGTCGAACAAAATAATTCTATCCTAAAACATCATAGAAGGCGAAAAAAAGTACTCCTAAAATTAACTAAGCTTGGATATAATGTAGAAAATGTTGTATATATATATAAAGCAGAAGAAACAAGATATTGGAGTTAGACGTAAATTTAGGGTGTTGGTGTAATTTTCATGCATTGCACTCTTTCTCACTTAATAGGAAAGCATAAGCAACATAAGTTAAGCGGTCATGGAATCATGAGCGCATACCATAGAGAGTATGACGATACTTTTATATTGATTATTCCCAACTAAAGTAATCGGCAACATTTACCTGCTGGATTCATTTTTGATATATTTTAGGAAATCTCTTCACATTTGAATCGGAAAATGAACAAGGAGAATTAGCTGTGTTGGATTGTAAAATAAAACGAACAGAAGACGGTAAACTGAACACTAGTGTTTATAGAAAACCAACGCATTCTAATACTGGATATTTAGACTTTAGTTCATCTCATCCGTTGACTGTTAAGGCAGATTTAGTTAAGTGTTTAACAAACCGAGCAGTAGCACTAAGTAGCACAAGAAAAGACCTAAATGATGAAATAAAACAGATAGAAGAAGTGTTGGTATTAAATAACTACCCTATAAAATTCATTAGGAAGATCGGTGAAGACCAAAAACAAAATAAAAATAATTGTGGAACTAGTAATGATAACATAAATAAGGGAGAATATAAGTCATCCACTGTTATCCCATACAAGGCAGGGACATTTGAGACGCTACGTAGGATTCTTAATAAAGCAGGAATTAGGGTGCCTTCACGTGGCAGTGGTGTTTTTCACCAAAGTCAGAGGACAAAAGCGGATGCCCGGCGCTCTTCACCGGGTTGACTGGCCATTGGATGATAGTCTAGGGGAGATGGCTAAACCCTGATTCCAAACCTCCAACGACTGGCGTATGAAGCTCACCGGAGCTCACGGGCAGACGTATGGACAAAGGGCTTATTGGATGCCGTGGATGTCTGGCCCCATTCAAAAAGGCGAATGAACCGGTCACCGGCTGCCAATGCATAGTGGACTCCCTACTGCACTCCTACTGCCTTGTAGCTCACACTTGGTTGTGTAAAGGCTAGAGCTGCACTCTCAAACAAAGGCCGAGCGATGCTGGGGACATCACTCGTACCCAATTCTCATGAAACTTCATGGTTCATGAAGCCGACTCATCCTCCCGTAGGAGATAGCCGAAGTAAAGTAAAGTAAGTAAGGAATTAGGGTGGCATTCAAACCCACAAACTCACTCAGAGACAAGCTCTGTAGCCTAAAAGACATTGTCAGTTGACCTAGTTAGACAAAATAATATAATTTACAAAATACCTTGGAATGGCTGTGAGTGAGGTCAACTACATAGGTGAAACTAGTAGATCGGGGGTAGTCAGATTATCAGAACATCAGAATTTAGCTAACGGAGAATGGTTGACCCTGAAAAGATGAGTAATTTAGAAAATAGCTCAGTAATTGCACTTCAGTCATTAACAAACAACCACACAATAGGGTAGGAGAGGGTTAAGATTCTAGGAAGTAATCTAGGTAGGTGGAGAGAGAGGTTGATTACTGAATCCTTGTTCATCGAGTCTACACCCAACACATGCAACAGAAACGACTCAATGCAAATACCAGAAATATGGAAGATATTATTACCACTAGTCAGTTAAATCAGAGTAGGATAATAAATAATCTCAAAATTCTATTTCAATTCAAGCACATCACAACATTCTAACAAGTTACTTATTATGACTATAAAAACACTCATCTTATTTCCCATCTGATTGTAATTGATCAATAACACTCGTGTTATTATTTTTGAATGTACATTATCTCATATTGATTTTATTCAAATATCTATTCAATTCCACACATGTATATAAATGAAGGAAAAAAGTTGTGTGAGTAACTTGATATGATTTTGAGTGGCAATAGTTTGTGCTCGAAACGTGGTCATCAGTTAATATTACTGTACAATTCTATGTGATTTATCAAAATAAAATCTTATCTATAATGGAGTTATACTCTAATATAGTGCCTAAGTTTTATACTTATATCAATAAATCTTTTCAATCGTAAAACAAAATCTATTATTCGATAGCAGTTATATTCAGTTTATTTTTCTATGTTACCAATGTGAATTCTCGACAATTTCAGGTGTGCCCCATTCGTACACTATCAGATGGACAAAGATGTCGAATTATATTTGCTTGGCTGGCTCAAAAAGCTCCTCATCTACTGTTATTGGATGAACCTACAAATCATTTGGATATTGAAACGATCGATTCATTGGCTGATGCTATTGATGACTTTGAAGGTGGTCTACTACTTGTTAGTCACGACTTTAGACTTATTTCACAGGTATGTTGGTATGTCTTAGTAATTTTGGAAGTATTATTGATATTTGAAGTGAAATAATACTAATAAAATTGAGATTAAAGTATAAAAAGGATGGGCAACAGCATACCATAATTCTTCAGTGAATCGGTGAGCAACAAACTTTTGTTTCAACTCTCTCTCTTTCTCTCTTAAATAATCTGAAAAACTTGATTGCTAAGAGAATTTCAATTTGACAAGTTTTTCATGTGGATGAATAATACATAAATGTCCGTCAAACGTCATTCTGTTTAAGTTGGCTTTTGTCCTTCTCTGGCTTCTGAAACGAAGCGTACTGGATTTGAGTCGTCTCAGTGGGAGCACCATCAATCACTGGGATTACAGGTAGGTGTGCACTCAGGTGACAAGTTTCAAATGGGAAGTCGTGCACACCCTGAATTCCACTGCTAGTCACTATCCACTAAATAACATTAGTGTCAACTAAGCCGTTGTCAGTTGTTTTTGTCGGGATTTCGACGGTCTAAAAATTGAATCGTCTGTTAGTGTTTTACTACTGTCTTTGTACGTTCGTCATATAAAATATTTTATGTGTGAAACAGTCTCACTGTTATTTACTCCATGGGTATTACATCGTGTATCATACTTTATGGATCAATTTTCTTTGGAGAAGTCTTAGACAACATGTTGCTAACTAACACTTGATTTTCAGTCGATGAGTCAAGTATTCGACTTCCACTCCACTTACTTCAGTATGGGTGGCAACTGGATTGTTGTCATCAGACCTCACACCACATAAATGTGGTCCTTGGTGTGTGTGTGTGTGTGTGGTACATGAGAAATCTACTCGGGTAATTGAGCTGAAACAATAGAGCTTAGAAATGTCTATCAAATAAAATTTCAGTGAGTAGCTATACCTCTTGCCTTAGTTATAAGATCTGTAAGAGCTGTGATACACAAGTGTGTTGTTATGTTACATCTTCTGTCTTGATGGTTAGCATTCAATCTGACTGATTTTTGTTGTTATTTTGTAAATTTTAGGTTGCGAAAGAAATATGGGTATGTGAAAATGAGACAGTGACTCCTTGGGAAGGTGATATTTTCTCCTATAAAAAGTATTTGATGCAGAATGTTTTGAATGAAGCCTAATGTGTGTGTATCTATCTGTTCTATCGAATCTGTTGAACCGAGTGAACACAAGTTGACATTATTGTTATTTGGTATATTTGTGTACAGCTTTATACGTTCCCCGCTTTTAACATATAGATTTACAGATTTGCTTACGTTTTTCACTCGCCTTTTTCTCGTTAACCTAAGCTCACAAAGCGAAATCTTCCTTCAATATCATGTTTTCGTTGGAATTAGTTTGTCAGAGTTGTTCTTTTATCCACTTTGTCAAATACACACTGTTGGAAATTATTTCTGTATTCATCATTTATTTCGTTTACTTGGAAAATGTTAAGAATAACTAAACATGATGCAGTGGGGATTGTCAAATAATACACAAAGGCCAAAAGAATAAGGCATAATAACCCCTTCATTCCAACCCTTTTGTTCCGCAAAAGGTATATGATAAGTGAAACAATCTTTCAGAAAAATGACTCCTTAATTAGCTCTCAGGTTAGGGGACGTTGGAAAGAACACTTTGAGGAGGAGCATTTTAGTTGGTCTACAGCCACGCTCAACTTACCCAGCATCCCACACCTTGAATGAGATGTAAACACTGGTTCTCCGTCCTAACTGAGATTACAAAAACTGTCATTAGTCTGAAGGCTGGTTTGGCATATGCCAACTTACTTCATCTTTGACGCAGACGTGGTATCCGGTTGTCGATCAAAGGGCATGTATACTGTTCAGCAGTCCTCTGTCTCCTCCTTTATGGCTGTGATGTTTGACCATTGGAAGTGGAAGACACAAAAAGACTAATTTTCCTTGTTCTTAGGTGTCTGCGTTCCATCTCCGTATTAAGTGGTATAACGAGGTGAACAATATTGAGGTTAGGAGTCGAGTGTTGGGTAAGGAGGGGAAATTAATCGACGATTCGGATTGAGATGGTTAGGACATGTGTTACGCACTCAGATAGCTTCCATGACCCATGTAAATGATTTGATGAGCTAATACGCTGCCTTGATCTAGAAGCTCTTAACTTTCTTGCATTCAGGTTTCGCTTGCTTTAACCAAAGCCCATCAAGGTGGATACTATTAAGTGATGTGTAATACATATAGTCATTTCACCTACCTTTGACAATACGTTTATAGTAACTTCACTAAACACATAGACGCTGTGGGTATATGGCTGGTGCTGTGCTTCAGACTCGCTGATTTAAGCGTCAGTTTTTACTCAACCGTAAAGTGGGATAGAGAGCATTGTTACTCCGTATATCTGCTTCTTTGTAGTCAAATGGCTATCTTGGCGACGGGGGACGTATAGGATGTTCGAAACTTTTACACTGTATAGGAAAGAAGTTCACTTTTTGCATTGAAAATCAATCTTTCAAAACGGCCCACGGAATCCCTTCGTTAATCACGGGTATTAATCTATTACCATTTGCGTCTAAAATGCTAGCTACTGTAATACTCTGCAAGCTTTTTAAAATGCATGTGGATTTCATGAAGCTTGGTTTCTCCTGGGCGACGGGTTCACTCTACGTCAGTTGTTATAACACATTGCAGACCGACAATCGTATTTCTTAATACATATATAGTCTGCCTTGGATTTGTTGGGTGAAGTCTCTGTTTGTTATTGTCTGATAGAGAGAGGTAGAGTGAAGGCGTAAAACCAGTCGTCATCGTCATTCTCAACCATTTTTCACTAACTTTGCTATCAGTGACGTTGTGGAGACAGTTCTGAAGGATGTATGTGGTAGTGTAGGTCTACTGCTTGGCGAAAGACTTATTGACCTTCAGTATACAGATGCATCGTCTTACTGTACAATAAAATGCAGTCTACCGAATCGCACGTAATCAGTTGGTGATCATTTTCCGGAAGTATGGTGTGTGCCTTATTACTCGAACTGCAAAGTATTGTTACAATGATTGTCAGGAGCATGTACCTGCACTCATCCTTAGACAAGAAACATTGTGGATCATTTTGCGTACAGCCTCAGATAAAACAATAATCCTTCGGTTCATACATTATCGTTTGTTATATTACTTGAAGATTCTGCAAAACAAATCAACACCTTGCAATAATAGACTCGATGAGAGTGAAAACAAAACACGTAGATCAGAGAAGAGTTTCTTTTCGGGGAATTCATTTTCTTAGCTGTACAATCGCAAATATATCTGGTTGTTTTGTAAGTATGTTTACATTAAGTTTGTCAAACAAAAATGCAATTGGTTATGGTTATTTTAATAGGTGAAGATCGGTTGTTGGAGTTACGCAATACAAAATCAGTCGAGAAAATTAGGTATTAATGAAATAAGGGTAGTAACGAAGGTGGTGAGTTATCACAAACAGGTGTTAAAAAAAGAAGTTATATAATAATATGAATAGCTTGATGATTGAGTTTTACTCAGGATGCACATAGGAACAAAGTAGAGAATATGAAATTATGTGAGAGTTCTAAATGAATACAAGAATTATAAGCAATTAAAGAACAGGCAAACAAACAAAATTAAGTCATCAAAATCAACAAAGTTGTTATCATGACAGTAGAAGTGGTTGAGTAATCTTCTTTTGTATGCAGAGCTCCGGCTTTTGTATGTGAATAGCCAGAGCTTCAGTCATACAAAGAAGACGAAACCGTATTGTTTTTGATAGTTTATTCTTGACTCTTTAGATTACTTTGAAGGAGGCTTATCTGGCCACTTCTGTGTGCATATATCAGTTCACCTGCTGCTGGGGAGCCAGGTACATCGGTTGTTCCACGCGCACCCTGTCCAAGAGAATTCAAGAACACTATCCAGCATGGCTGCGAAAAGGCAATAGTGGTGCAATAAGGAGTGCGATAATTGAACACCTGGTTAACACCTATCATTCCATCTCAACAAACGCTTCCTTCAAAGTAATCTACAGAGTCAAGAATAACCTATCAAAAACAATACGGTTTCGTCTTCTTTGTATGACTGAAGCTCTGGCTATTCACATACAAAAGCCGGAGCTCTGCATACAAAAGAAGATTACTCAACCACTTCTACTGTCATGATAACAACTTTGTTGATTTTGATGACTTAATTTTGTTTGTTTGCCTGTTCTTTAATTGCTTATAATTCTTGTATTCATTTAGAACTCTCACATAATTTCATATTCTCTACTTTGTTCCTGTGTGCATCCTGAGTAGAACTCAATCATCAAACTATCCTTATTATTACATAACTTCTTTTTTTAACAACTGTTTATGACTGTTTACTGCCCTAATTTCATTAACACCTAATTTTCATGACTAATTTTGTATTACGCAACTTCACCTGTTTAGTTAAAATAACCACAGTCAATTGTATTTTTGTTGGACAAACTTAATGTACACACTTATATAAAACAACCAGATATATTTGCGATTGTACAGCTAAGAAAATGAATTCCCCGAAAAGAGACTCTTCACTGAGAGTGCTCTATTGTGTGTATAAACGCATTTTTCGGAATAAAGCTGTTATTATTGAAAAAATCATTCCCAAATACTGGGAATCTAAATAAAACTGGAGCTTGACCTTCTTGACTTAACCGGATATTGACAATTATTTTGACTGAAATCCCGAAGGAATGGAGTGACATCTTTCAACAATTAGTTACATGATAATTATGGAGGAGACGGATATGGGATAATTTGACTAATATGCTACTCTTACAGAAAATGTGTTTAAATAATTTCACCTGGAATGTCGCGTCACATTGTGTTCATCAGAGAAAATATTTTTTTCATGAAATTTGTAGGACTGACTTGAAAAAAAGTACGAAACCAAATGACATTGGATTTAATTACTTACTTGTTCGGGATGATTCAGCATCCTTTCAGTTTGTGCCTAATAAATGAAAGATTAGTTGGTGAATATCACTTTAAATTTTAAGTGAATATTATTTGTTTGGTTTAGAAATATCATGTCCTTTATTAATGGGAATCATATAGTTGGTAGTTAGTTTGGTGATAGTATCATATCAGTATCACTGTAATAGTGATCACTCGGAGTGAAACTCGCCAGCTGTGAATGATGTAAACCTACGGTCTGTCTGTCTGTCTCAGGAAGGCTTCGTGAGCTTTCGGAAGTGTGTGGGCGGTTGTTACTTCCCGGCTACCCACACCGTGGAAGTTTATTGATTCTTCGGGTACCTGAAACAGAGAGAGGGTTAGTGTTGCGTGACCGCAGAGCCCAAGGGACAACTGCTTGAGGCTGGTCACACACGGCCTGTATGAACTGCTTTCTGGGATTGGTTCCGTATCAGTAAACTTACCGCCGGTTACGGACCACCGTAGGGGAAGTCGGGATGTAAAATTTTCGGGGTCAACCTTTTCTAACCTCCTCTCTCCGGAGTGGAGAGAAAGCATAACTGGCTGGCATGCTGGTCATCTGAGGGAAACACCTCACTGTTGTTACACTCCTGTTCCCCAGCGGTACGACATCACCCTAAGATTCTTACACAATGCCGGTAACTGCTTTTAGTCTAATCGCTATCCTAACAACCTTCCTGGCATGGTAGGACCTGCAGGAAGATTGGTTGCAGCCAGTGTAGCTTGTTGGGTCATCGCGATGTGCAAGCCCGACCACCACGTCAAGGTAGCAGCTATCGGTCGGGAAACCTACGGTAGTGTAATAATTTAGCGTATCATACCCTTTAAAAGATTACAAAGTAGAAGTATATCATTATAACTACAATCGGCAACAAGCACATACATATCTGAATGAGATAAGAATGACCAAATGAGGATTATTGAAAATTTTGAAGTATGAAAGATAAGAAATGAGTTTAAATGGGGTAATATTGTTAGAGTCTTCCGGCATTGATTATAGTCCTCTCGAGGATCCCAAGTGGGAAAGTATAATGCTTAATAATAATGATAAGCTTTGTTCCAAAACAGTACTTTTGATACAGAATTGAATTCTCAGCATTTTACTACAGCATTACATCCAGTTAGTACATTAACAGTACATAAAATTCTACAAAGATTAAGGGTAATCTCAGTTAGTTATGACAACAACATATTGGTATGTCA